TCTCTCTCTCTCTCTCTCTCTGCAGTTTGCGCAAGGTCCCAGCGATCGAATACCTCCAAGAACCTCTCGCCGAGCTCCAGTCAGATCCCAGGAAAGAAGGTGAGTCATCGAAAAACCGTCCACGCCCCGATGGGCCAAGGCATGGCAATTCCGAGTCCGAGTTCCGGAGGGTCCTTGACGCCGGGACTGGCACCTGTGCCAGTGGCGCCCAAAGGCAGAACCAGTAGGATTTGGTTGGAAAGGTGTTGCTCTGGCTGACCGTGTTGTCGAAGTCGGGCCATGCTAGACCAAGTCTCCCAAGACAAACAGAAAGCGAGACAACAAAAGAAGCGTGCGTTCTCTCTCAAGGAGCCCATCGAGGACGGCGCCACGGTGTCCGCGTGGTCTTTCGCGAGGACCCTGCCTCAGCGTCCTCGCGTAGAGCCGTGGTCCGGACTTAGTCCCACAGCCCTACGTAGGCCCCTATAGGCCTCACCTGCGACGTCCACAGATGTCAGGACTCAGATGAGGCGAAGCGAAGCTCTCTTCAACTTCAGGCCCATGTTGCGCTTTCGTCTCGGGAGCTACACCCTGGTGGAGTCGGGACAGAGGTCCCGCGCGGCAGCACAACAACATTCGCAGAGGAGCTGGGCACGTCCGGCCAAGCGCGGGGTCCCGGCATTTGCACCCCGGGGGGTGCCGCATCTGGAGGAATTCCCGGGCCCGGTCTCGCTCAGGAGAGCCCGCCGCCGAGCCCCATTGCTTTGGCATCGCCCGAGCCGGAGGTGGCGGCGGAGGAAGAGGCAGCGTGGCAGCCGCAGAGTCCCAGATGCAGAGTCCCCACCTTTATGTCGGTTGCGAGGAGGCGAGCTCGGAGAACTCTCTTGCTGCCAGCCCCTCGATCAGCCCAATGCCGTCGGAGAAGGACCACAGAAGGTGCCGCAGCTGAGACTTTGAGACTTTCCCTACAAATACCTGTAGATCCACCTCTGCATGGACGCCGGTGCCTACTGTCTTAAGCATCTCGTGCACTTTATCGATCTGGTGAAATGTCGTTTGCTCGTCTTGCAGCCGTCCGTAACCCGTAACTCAGCACAAGGAACTAGTCAAGTCCGATAGTGAAGCGAAAGCTCTCGCTTTAGAGCGGCCCAGTCGTGAATTGCTGTCGGAAGAACTGAGGCTCTTGAAGTTCGAAGTCCAAATCCTTGAATTGTGGGCCCTAAAGTACCCATTGGACGCAGGCGGAGTCTCCGCACAAGGCTTCAGGACACAGGGCGCTTGCTTTGCGAAAGCTTTCCAGTACACTTCAAGAGTGGCTTGTGGCTTGTGGTCGGTAAGGCTGACCCAAATCCGAGCCGAGTGCGTGCTGTTTCAAGCATTCAGACACCAAGTCCTGCTGTGCGAATTCCCCGGATCAAATGCCCTGGAGAAGAAGTACTGTTCTTTCATGCCGAGGCAAACCCGAGCAAACAAGAAGCTCAAGCCCTGGCAAACCCGACCGGCCTTGTCCGGAGCAAGGTTTGCTCACTCTCCGTAGCTCTTGAAACTCGCGAAGCCTTAACAGGGCTTTAGAGATGACGCTGGCAGGACCGAGGTGGCCTTTTCTGGCAGGGAGTGAGGCCTGAAACTTCTCCGGGATTTCGGTATGATCGTTGTATTTCGGGACATTTCTTGGGAAGCTCAAGAGGACGAGCCATGCTCCGAAAGGACTGAGCCAAAAAGTTTGCTGCACTGGCCCAGGACACGGATGAAGGGCCCCAGCAATCGGAAGTGCCGGGCTCAGAAGTGCAGCAGGGACATGTTGCATGTTGGGCCTCTGAAGTTCTGGAGGTCCAAGTAGAAAAGCTTTAAGGGGGAAGGGCACCGGAGGGCCTGCAACTGCAGGACTTTGGACTTGGGGAAGATGGTGAACCGTTTGGGCGCCGGGGCGGCCTTCGGCGCGAAGACCCTGCTGAAGAAGGAGGCGGCTTGGACAAGGGCTGGCTTCCCCGTTTGGGCCCGCAAACCCCAGGTTGCCTTGAAAGCCCAGGCGAGAACCGCCTCGGTGATGACAGTGGAACCGACGAAGCTGCTCGTCGCTGCCTTGGACGAGCATGGTTTGCGAAACCGAAACGAGCTTTGAGATCCTGTCGCCAGAGGCAACAGGTCAAACTGCAGAGTTGTTCGTGGAGATCCTGCAAGAAGAAGGATCGCAATCAGTTTCCGCAGGTCGTGACACGAGAAGATTATGTGGCCTTGCTGGGCTCTATGGAGGAGGCGAGGTCGGGAAGGGGAACATTCGATCCATTGAGATGATTTCTCCAACCTTGGACTGGTACCACTGAAACGGTTTTGTTGTCAGACTCCACTACTGTCATAGGAATCGGGTTTAGGGGTTTTCGCGGCAGGTTGCAAGCCAGTTGCAACAAAGGGGTTTTCGGGGCATCCGCTTGAGTGTGCATGATAGCAGTGATGAAGTTGCTTAAGTCCAACTTCACTGTCCATAAGAAAAAGACTAAAGCGCGAGGGAGCCCTGAGCCATGTACTCGAGACATGAAGCGAAGCGGCAGCATGAATCGAAGCATGCCGAGAAAATATCCTTGTCCCTGCTGCTCGGCTCTTTTGTGATGCTAAAAGGATTGTTGCCAAGCAGATGCTCAGAGTTGTATGATTTCGAGGTAGATGCCGCGTAAGCCAATTCAGCTGTCCCCGTCATCCGAAGCTGCTGCAGAAGCATATGCACCCTGCAGCCAAGAACACGTGGCATGGGCTTCTCACCGCTTCAGCCAGATCCAAAGCCCCGATCGTCGGAGCTCTGCCTTCGCATCCTGAGGGCTTCTAGCAGAGCCCCGCTCCGTCGGCACCTGCCTCTAGTTCTTAGTTGCCCTGTCGATGCTGAACCTATGATCATGACCATATCTGCAAAAAACGCTTTAACGAGGACCACGAGGGCCCGTTCTCAAGCCTTCCGCTGCAATGGTGGTGCGTGCCGCGAACGGCCGCAAGAAGCCGAAAGCCAGGAAGGCGAGGGCTCGTTGAAGCTTTGCTTTTGCATCTCTTGGAGGGAAGCATGGACTCCCGAGAAGTGGCCACATCTTGCAGCAAGCGAGTCTTTCAATCGATTGAAGAACACTCCTTGCCACAAAAGGCCGAGACCTAGGCCCTAGGCCAAGCCTTCACGGCTAAGCGCAGCGAATGCAAACCCCTCCCTAGCTTGAGTGCCCTGCAACACTAGACTAAGCTTCCCACTGCACAAGTCAGATGTCTCTGGCAGGCAGCGAGCCTGCTGAAGCGTAAAGCGGCAGAGCCTTCAGGCTTGCCGAAGCTTGCCTTCTGAGTTTTCAGATTTCTAGGCCTGGGTCGCACCGAGGCAGAGTAGACTGGAGGGCATTTCGGGTAAGAGCTGGCTGTCAGTGAGTCTAGGCAAGTGCAGCTTACTGCATTTGGTGCAGGTGCGTACCTACTTGTACTTACAACACATATACAAATATGCTTCCAAGCACATGAAAGGCGTCTATCTCCCACTCACTCTTGACTAGCTGCATGCACGGGTGGACATGCACGCATGCATGCATGCCTGTCCGTTTGCCAGTCAGCCTGTCTGTCAATCTGTGTGCATGTATACCGATGTATGCCTGCATGCGTGCATCAGTGCAGATATGCATGTAGGAGTGCATGCAAAGGCTATTATGTACTTGCAGAGTTGTGCACGTTAGTCTACATGTATATGGTTCTGTATTGATTACTTGTGCGCATTTCGTCCACATCTGCGTCTGAAAACAGGGACTTTCATTTGGCTTTCTGGACATCCTTGTCTTCCGCAGTTTTGGCCCGAGCCATCCGACGCCACCCGAACAGCGTGATACTCATCGACGGCTCTCCGGAGCAGAGTGATAAGACTGCTTGGAAGGAGAGACGGAAAGTGTGTTAAATCTGCTGTCACTGCTGCGACGAAGCTCGATCCCGTCCAAGACCTGCGTTTCCAAGTTCCATTTTGGAATCGAGACACCCCTTGAGTCGCCCTGCAATGGAGCAGCGCAGCTCGGCTGACACGGTCTTCCGGCAGGCTCTCACGGGCACCCCAAGTACAAATGGTTTTGTGAGTCCATTGCACGACTTGAACATGTTTGCAGCAATGGCGCTACACATCTTTACGATCTCCGGTGGTCGGAGACCCATAACCATGTTTTCTTGCGAACCTGCACTTCAGATGATCTTGCGCTTCGCGAGGCCCGCCGCTACGCGTTTACAGGCACAAACCCAAAGCACCTAAAGAAAGGCAACGTTGAAATGTAAACACGCGCACAACGCCGGATTCCCACCTTGTTAGTGTCATCTTCCTCTGGTTCCACTTCGAACCGCCCGGAGGCGACTGCCCTGGCAGAGGACGGTCACTTTGGCAGGGCAGCAGAACTCTTCCAAAAGGCGTGCGGTGCGATTTCAACGACCGGGATGATGGCATGAGGGAGCCGTTGCCAAGCCTGGTAAGAAATATGGTCATAGACTTTCAGCCATATCCAGTTGTGCTGCTAGCTTTCGTCAGCCGGTCAACCCCGCTTCGAGCTAAGATTCGTGCAGCCGACACAGACGTAAGCAGCTCAGACGCTAGCCAGGCTTCGCAGCTGGATCCGAGTTCTGCCAAGCACTATGAGGCATGCCGGGGGGCCTCCGAAAGACATGGGAAGATTTCAATAGGCAAGGCCAAACGAATCGATCCATGGCTGCGCTCTACTTTCGATTTGTTGATATGGAGTTTGCTTCAGCTTGGACTGCACAACTCACAGCCCCAACAGGGTTTACCACGGATTCTTCGGTCCAGGACCCGTGTTTCAAAACACAAGCTGCCAGGACAAAATGTGCACCCCCACACCCACGCGTGCACACGCACGCACGCACACCCCCACGCACCCCCACACATGCACACAGACATGGACATACATTGCTGTGCAGCGCCTGCCCGAGAGCTCCATGGACAAGATGCTGGTGTCCGCCCGGTGGGTCACCTTCTTTCTCACCCCACTGAAAGCACTGAACACGACTATCGCGATTCGAAAGTACACAAGAGCCGCAACAGCACCTTTGACTGCAAGGCTCGAGCCCAATGCTTGATGGAGCTGGGGCAGCAGACCGGCTGAAAAAAAAACTGCAAGGAGATTGAGATCTTTCTGTTGAATAGCTCTGATGCATTGCCGTGTTGTGAGTTTCAAGCTTGTGAGGACTTATGACTAGTCTGGGTCTCCGTTGTTGGGATCACCTTGAGAGCGGAGCAAGCCAGGCCCAAGTGCAAGACAGAATCCTGCCCCTTCGCAATATTGACCCTGTGCAGGGCATTCCCGTGATTCAAGACGCACTCATGGTCTCAACAATGTTCTGTAAGCCATGCAGCCGAGTCTCGTAGGTTGCAGCCTGCACGGGCCATTGATTCCAATACTCCCTCAACCATACTGCCTCCACTTGCGGGGGCTTCAGGCTCAGTGAGGTACGTGTTTAGTTTTGCCTGCTTGAGGTCTTTGCTAGGGATCCCATTGAAATACATCCTCAACAGGAAGGGAGGGCATTGAAATCTAAAGCAAAGCCAAACGAGACTCCAAGGTTTCAGGGTGCTGTGGCTTCAGCAGAGCAAGCCGTGAAGCTCAGCGCAGACTGGCTGCCGGGCAAGGTGCGGTTTCGTCCGTGACAAGTGGCCCAAAGCTGCCGGCTTCTATCAGAGGCCACCCTGGGAAGAGCGCTCTTCAACGCCGGCCAGCTCGAGGCTCCGATGTGTCCATCCTCGGTCGGCATGTCGTGCATCTTTACGCAAACTTGCATCCGTCGCTGGAAACATCGCGCATGGCACCCAAAGAAGATGTGCAAAATCTTCCCCAAACGCAATATGTAATCTTGCAGAGATGTTGTCGTAGCTCGAGGATGCAGTGGGCCAGTTCGAGGAGGCCTTGAAGCTGGCCGACAACAGCAGCTTCTCCGCAGCTTGAAGCTCCTGTGGTAAGTTCATGCTGTACTTCCCCACCCCCACGGAAGGGTCTTCGGGAGCCCCAATGACGGTGTGGCTTCGAAGAGCTGCAAACTGCGCGAACCTCCCCGCCCTGAAGGGAAGCAGTTGGCGGCATACTTTGCAGGATGACGTTGCGGGAGGACAGATTGGGGGCTGGCATGCTCTGAAGGTACGCTGTGCAGCAGGACGCACTGCAAACATGATACGGGCAAAGAGCGCCAAGAAAGGACGCGCTGCAAGCAGGATATGGGCAAACAGCACCAAATGCTGCGAACAGGGTGGAGGTAGAGAGCACCAAGAAAGGACACGTTGCAAATCGGATAGGGGCAAAGAGCACGAAGAAAGGACACGCTGCAAAGAGGATGGGGGTAAAGAGTGCCAGGAATAGTGCCTAAAGTGCGGAACAAGTCTAAGTGCGTGCAAGAGTGTAACACACCCAGCATAATCCTGCCCAGCCAAACCCTACGGTTGCCAAATTCTTTAAGAAGGGGGGTGGGGAGAGCCCCTCCCCCCCGTGAAGTCACCGAGATCCCGAATGGGCGGCAGAGCTTGGCGGCGAGTTGGTAGAGTTCACCAGCCTCCTGCATCGGCCGCCTGGCCTTTCAGGCTTTTTATATTCAGTACCGTTTGGGTGGTAGCGACATCTGTGACATGCATACATGTAGATGGGACTTAGGTGCAGCGACCAGAGTTTTACCGCTTGTGACGGTCACATGCAGTTGACCGTGCACTAGGTATCGTACAGTGATGCTGCTGGCATGTAGAGACGGTTTTGCAAGAGACGTCCCTGCCACGTCTGTTGATCGAAGCGTTCCTTTGTCGGACTTGCGGACACTGGAAGCCGGAGTTGCGCATGATGGCAAGGCACTGGGTGGAGCACCACGACATTCTTCTGCCGGTGAGGCGCTCCACTGAGCGAGCAGAGTGAGGAAGCAGGTGGTTTTGAAGGTCGCACCCGCCAGTCACTGGCATGTGGCATTAGGTCGCCAGAGACTTCAGAAATCCGAGAACCCGCAGACTGGCTGAGGGCTGGCCTGCAGCTTCGCATCCGACAAGCCTTGAACTGCCGCTACTGCAGGCTTTCGCTCCATGGCCTGAGAGAACTTCAGACTTTGAAGTTGCGGGAGGGGGCGTTCCCAGACATTCGGGATCGAACCAGCAACGTTTGTGCAGAGGCCCGACTCGGCCCGACCCGAAGTCGCCGAAAAGGGGCATCGCCGCACGCTCACGGACCCCTCTCTGAAAAACGCGGAAGCCTCGAAAACAGGCAGGGCACCTGAAGCTTTGAATCCCAAGCTTGGGCGGAGCTTCCGAGGAATGCCGAGCTGGGCCCTGGGGGCGCTGTCTGGGGCGCCGGCTGTATCCTGGCAACCCAGGCCCCTTCAATCCTGGCAGGCCTTCGGCCGAGGCGATTCTCCATGCCTGCTCGGAATCTGAGCTTGGTCTACCACAACTCAGCTATCCTCAGGTGAACTCGTACATCGGTAGCAATTCCGGTTGAGGTGGTTTGATTGCAACTGGCGTTTGGCAGCACAGTTGGCGTCGTTGCATTGCACTTCTGGAAGGTGTTCTGATGCTTCAGAAGACCATTTGCTTCGACGTCCCACGCCCTATAATCACAGGAACCTCTTCCTGTTGCAGGCCCCGGATTCTGGAGCTTGGCTCGGGCACGGGCGCAGCGGGCCTCGCTGCAGCAGCCGTGGGCGCAGAAGTGGTTCTCACCGACCACTCCAACCTGAGACTTGGCTGCCAAAGATATCAAGATTGGTAGTGAAAAGAGGAACTGGTTCGATGTTCCCAGAGCAAGCAAGGTTAAGCTTAATTCAGCTCAACATGCAGATGAATGCCCACTTCATCCAATCAGCGGGCGGATCTGCTTCAAGCTGTGCTTTCGATTGGGAAGAGAAGCCAGCAGATGAGCTGCTGCAGAAGAACTTCGATTTGGTCATCGGCGCAGACCTTGTCTATTCCTTTGCGGCCGTGGAGCCCTTCACTCTCGCTTTGCAAGCCGTGCTGCTGCCACAAGCGGCCGAGGGAAGAACGCAAGCATTGGCGCCGGCAATGCTTTATGCCCACTACCCGCGCTTTCCAGACCTGGATAAGGCCATGACTACAGCACTGGCAGCCAGAGGCCTTGTGCTTCAGGAACGAGCTTTGCCGCCTTGGAAAGGTGATGTTGGCTCCATCCCCGAAAACATTCTGTGCCATGTGAAGCTTCTGGAAATCCGACCTGGGACTCCGAGCACATCGGGTGCTGTCTCGGAAGGCCAGCAAGACCAACACGGAGGCGGGCACGGGTGGGACTACCATCGCATGGACTGTGACTGTGGACAGGAGCATGGACAGCAAGACGCACAGCCGCACAGCGATCCCCATGAGCGCGGTCATGGCGAACCGGGACATGGATATGGTGGAGATGGACACGGACAACCGACTGCGTGAGAAAGTCGTTGCTAGAGACAGCCTGTCTTCATGTTGCACACAGTTTAAGTGGTGCATAGCGCTGCCTCGGAGGTCGGCCCAAGTCCGGAAGGGGCGTTCAATTCACCCAAATTCCTTGAGCACTTCTTACGCATTCAACTCTGACATCGCGTCGGCCGTGCATGCCGTGCCAGGTGAAGGAGAACAGCCGCTTGCGGCAGAGGCGGGCAGAGCCTTCGAAGGAGTTTGGCTGCGTCCATCACTTGCGAGTGGCAAGCCCTGCCACAGCCCAGTCGTATCGCCATACCAGCACGCAGAGATTTGTCAACAGAGTACACTTAAGGCCCGTTTTTCAGGCTTGGATGAACAGTTCTGTGCTTTTGGGCGTGCGTAGCCGCAGCTTGGAAGTGAAGGGCCATACGGACGGCGCAAGATCTTCGTAGACTCGTCGTAGACTGAGTGGAAGGTCTCCGCCTTCGTCGAAAGCCTGGGCGGTCTAGGCCCCGGCCCTGGAAGAAAGACCATTGCGAGCGAGGAACCAGCAGCAGCGGGGAGGTGAGCGGGGAGGCTAATCCCTTCTCTAGTTAATCCCAACATGATAACGGTGTCGATATCGAGGCGTCCGGCTGACGGGACGTACAAAGCTGGAAAAAGCGCTCATACGAAGGATAGACGTATAACCGCCAACAAAGCGCAAGCAAGCTTCACCTTTGGTTTTTTCTGTCGCGCTTCAATTCAGTCAGCAGATGTAAGCCAGGACCTTCCCCCGGAGCTGCAAGATGCAGAGATCTTGGGCGGGCTGGGAGCCCGGGCCGCGACTTGCACCGGCCCCTGGGGCGGTTTTAGCCGATTGGCCGCGAGTTTTCGGCTGCAGATTGGTTCTTTGAGGGGCCGGGCAGCGGTGAAAGAGAGTGCTTAGAGCGCTTACGTCTATGTGGGCTTGGAGCTTCCATGATGTGTCTCGCATGGCATCCCCTTCTCGAACTCGAGAATGAACGTGGCACGGAAGCCCCGGCCTAGCAAAAGAACTGCGACTTGCAAGAGTCGAGACCGGAGCCTTGCAAAGCCTAAGGAGCCCTTACTGTGGGCTCCCCGGCCCTCAGCTTCTTGCCCAGGTCCTCAGATGCAGATGCCTCCATCTCTTCGGAGGACCTGTTGTCGTGTTTCAGTCTTACGACATGTTATGCAGTTTGCCGCCTGCGGTTTTGCCAGACCTGGCTTTGTAGCACATGGCAGCTGTGGGCATGGTTCGTCGCAGCGACCCCAATTTAACTTTGTGGAGCTCTTGCCCTTGAAGGACGAGGGCAAGGTGCCGATGAATCGCAAGGAGAGGAAGGAGGCAGACTTGCGCACACTCCGGCAATGGCGGGCAGTTACCGACCTTTGACGATAGACACATTTTCGGGTTGATTTGCATGCTGGCGTGAGAAGATTTCGAGAAAAACTTTGGGTTTCTGCTTTGGACATTGCGCCGGTCCTGACTTTCGGGATGTTTGGTGTACATGCGCAACCAATCTCCATCCAGCGCCGCAGGCCGAGAAGCAGGCGAGAAAGCAAGCCGAGGCGGACGCCAAAGCGGGGCTGCTGGGTACTCTTTTCCTCGCTATGCAAAGTTTTGGCTACCAGCAGTCCTTCAGAAGTTTGGTCTGCTGGCCAGCAGACGCTGATGCAGCTATTTGGTTTAATGCTTGTGTGCGTCTCCTTATCGGAAGGCCGAGAAGAAAGTGCAGCAGGCGAAGGCGAGTGCTGAGCCTGCAGCACCTCCAAGATTCCAGTTGGGAAGACGATATTTACAAGAGAGCGAAGGGCAAGTTGAGCTTGAAGGAGCTCAGAGCATGGAGAAAGCAACAGATGTACTCGAACATTCTTCGGGTGAGTTTTTGCGACCTTCAGTAAGTCCTGCATGACGACTCCGATGATCTTTGCCATTGCTTGCCAGGGCTTGACGACCTAGGATCCCAGCATGTCAGTAACGTTACTGTAGCCTCGGCGCCTCAAACCGCTAGATCATGTTGATATGTGGGTGTCCGGAAGAGTGCGAACTCCTATTTACGTGGCGAGTGATCGGAAGGTGCGAGCTGCTTTTTCAATCGGCAACGACCATACCGTGTGGTTTTTGTTGTGGAAATGACCTTATGCATGACACCTTGTAGGGACGGGTCAAGAACAAAAGACTTTGCACGGATGTTTTGGGTGGTGGAGGCTGCCGCGAAGACACCTGCAAAGCCGGCAGCAGAGAGCACCTTGGAGAATTTCATGGATGCAGCGCAGGTTTTGCAACGATACGGTGGGTGTTTAAACTTGTGCCGGGCGACGTCAACTTGCAACTTGCGCTGCAGGGTTTCATGCATGGTTGGCTTACACCAAGCCCAAGCCCCAGCAAGTAGAACTTGTACTAGCAGGGCCCCACAGGCCTCGGTGCACCAGAAGGCAACGATGCCCGCGCTTACAGTAGCATGTCACCCACAAGGCCAAAGTGCCAGCGGCAAGCGCGATGGGCAAATCTTCCTGGCAGTCGCCCAGCCTGAGAGTCTACGGGCCTTGGAGCTGAAGGTTCCGGGAGTTCTCCCTGGCACCTCTTAAAGTCCCCTTTGGAAGAGCTCTGGTTGAGCAAATGTTCCTGTCAGAAAGGCCTCCTATGCCTTCTTTTCTCCTTAAAGCAGAGATTTCGGAATTTGGGGATCTGAAAGGATTTTCTTCACAGGTTCAGAGCTTTTCACGAGGCGTTGCCGCCGTCCGTTGACGGTGATACCTTGAAGAAGGACTTCGCCAAGCTGCTCGGACAAGCCAGAGCGGTAGGAGTGACCAGGGAGTACAACTGGGCAAGGATAGCACGTTCAACTTGTGTGGTCTGTAGAGAGGAGCTGCGGGAACACTCACAACATAACAGTGCATCTCTTGTTTCCCTCTTGCGTCCACTGTTTCTCTTTTCCGTCACTCGCTTTGCGGCCCAGGTTCTCCCTCTCACCTTGGCCAGATGCTAGGTTTTAGTCAGAGCTCGCATCTCGACTTGGTGGCCCCGCTTCAGGGTTGGTCACTTCCATGATTAGGGACCGGTGCTTCTGGGTGCTTCTGTTTCGATACAGTTTCCCCCACACACGCTCGCTCACACACTGACTCGCTCTATCTCTCTCTCTCTCTCTCCCTCTCGCTCGCTTCTGGTATACGTAGGTCGTCTCCATCGTTGGGAAGTCACACGCTGCAGGGTGCTTTACTAAGTTTGCTATTCTGCGTGTCTGCCCTGGTTAGTCCAACCTAGAGCCTCAGGTTCGGGGAGATTTCCCGCTTCTATTTCCACAAAGACAGCGATGGGTCTCCGCGGGGTACGGCCTGCATTTTCTACAAAGCCCTTCGGCCTGAAAGCCTAGGGCCTAGACTTTTTGAAGAAGCTGCAGATGCTTGTAGATGGGCTGGCTCAGAACTGCGAATTTCTGTGACTCAGGATCCCGACGATGCCGACAAGGTGATCCTGCTGGATGGCATCGACTACAAGGGCAATGCGATCAAGGCACTCTTGATGTGTCCCACCCACGCCCGAATGCTCGTCCCAGTTGGGTGGTTCGGGACACGGCGCAGAGGCGCCGTAACGCACAATGAGGTAAAGAGTGACTGCTCTTCCGCTCGCAAGCCGCAAGACTTGACAGTGCAGCGGAGGGCCAACTGCGTCCTCCGAAGATCGGCGCAGTGCTTGAGTCCGAATGAGCCCATGTTCATCGCAAGTTCGTCCTGTAGAATACCGCAAGCAAGCTTCCTCGTGCAGAAAGCGCTGAGCACTTTGAAACCTGAATCCTTGTGACCTTGTGATCTGGGCCGCTGTTTGGCAGACTAGTGATGACTAGTGGTGCTGCACGCAAGGTAAAGCGAAGACCGCCGCGGAAGCCCGGCGGGAAGCAGGTGAAAAAACAGCAGGAGCATCATGCCGAGTGGGTCCGAGCTGTGCTGCCTGAAACATCAGAGAAGGAAGTTGCGGAGGGGTTGGTTGACGAGGATCAGTGCTTGCAAAAATTCCTTCGGAAGTCTTCATGCAGGAGCGCGCCGTCAATGAGGCAGCGCCCACGAAGGAGCCTGCGGCCACACAGACCTCGGTGCCTCGTACGACGTGTGCTTCCCTAAACCGTGAGAGTCTTGCCTAGGCCGGACCTCGGATGATCGGACATGTGCTTGTCTGCGGACTTCTCACTGGAAAGAACAAGTAGAAGACATCCTTCACTTCAACAAGCCAGAAAACACCGCGACATAGCCAGCTGGGCGGACGGAAAAACAACAAGCCAGAAAACATTGAGCAGAGCTACGAGAAGCCCGCGTCATGGGTAAAATTTCTGCTCGGCTACCACGTAGGACCCGAATATTTGCACAGCATGAGAGCGCGGCAGGTCCAGCAGAGCAGAAAGCTCGCATACACTGAGAATTCTCGGCTTCTCTGTGCTTTTCGCCCGATGCTCCTTTCCCCAGCCTTTGAGGTGCCCTTCGCGTGCAAAGCTCCAGGCTCCGGGATTCTGAAGCGCACGCAGCCCCCCGGCATGGCCTTGCTGTGCCCACAGGGAGACTCCTGGACTCTCCTCTCTCGCTCAGGAAGCACGTGGCGAAGCACACCGCAGCAAAAGACGATGAGGTGGGGATTGGCGGCTGTACAGGCTATCACCCCTTCTAAGATATCCCCTTCAAAACCCTCCCTCGCACACTGCAGGTGGCTGCAGATGAGATGATGCCGGAAGGAGCATCAGCGCCTGGCTTGACTCCCTTGAAAGCACTGCGTAAGCATTTGTCCATTTGTGCGGCTTCAAAGTCTGTACTTGGTTCGACCCAATGGTTACAAGAAGTTTGGGGCACATCGTTTTTGGAATGCATCTCTCGCCCAATAAGGCCGATCTCATGGCTTCCATCCCTGTATTTGCCAGATGTTCAGCTGAAGACAGAAAGCTCGCCCGACAGGTCGATGATATCATGACGGAATGTGCTTGAAGCTTCTGACGATGCGTCACTGCAGCAGGAGCTCCGAAGGCGAAGAAAGCCAAGCGGAAACGCGTTGGCAGCTGAAAAGGATGAAAGCCTCGTGGGACATGGGCCTTTTGACAGACGGCTGATTCTGTTTGTGTAGCAGTTCACCCCCACCCCCACTTGTTCCCAGAGTCCAAAAGAATGATGCGAAAGATGCATGCTCCCCACAACTGAATGCCGAGTGTATCGAAGCCCACACTCAGGATCCGAACAGAAATAATCCTGTACAACTCCAACCATCTCATGGAATCATGGATGGGGCACACTGCTTCTTCATAGTCTTGCTGCTGCTCCACCATCACCTTCACCAGGGACACCAAGCATCACGTTCACAAACCTCCTGAAATCGCAGCTTTGTGGTAATGTAATACATGTAGTCGTCATGAATTTTGTTTTTTTCCAATGGGATGGTGTACTGCCAGTAGTATTATCAAATTTCGGTGGCATGTCGTTTTTTGCATACCTTTGCAATAAGTGTTTTCTTGGGCAAGATATCATGTGTTGCGGCCACACGCGCAGATCCGCGCCACAAGCGCTGTTATTATAAGCTGCTAAGTGTTGTTGGTCATCATCACCGTCAGAAGAATTTAGTGAAGCGTCTACATACACCCCGGCATGCATACAGATGCAGGCGGACAGACGGACAGACGCATAGATAGGTATATACACGCCCTGCCGATGTAGCTGCTTTTCCATCAAATGCGTACTGCATCCCTTCGCGTCAAGAAACTACTCCTGTATGTGCACCGTGTGCCAGGCGAAGAGACGGGAAGCCGCCGAGTTCCTCTGTCGCAGCTTGGCTTCGTGTGGTTTTGTGTGGTTTTGTGCCAAAGTAGCAAAAGGTCAATGCCGAAGGAAGGGCCGAAGGGGTCTCGTGGAGCCCGTCTCGGAGCTAGGAGGTAGTGAGGCGAGTCGTGGAAGTAGCACGGCTCGCGTTCGCGTTCGAGGCCACGTGCTCCAGGTTGTGGTCCCTCCCGGCGCCGCCAGCAAGCGGGCCATGGCCGCGTGCTTGGACACTGCTGGACTGTTAATCTCGAGTGTCAGAGGCTCTGGGACAGCACTTTGTCAAGCCCGGGTTGCAAGCTGCAGCAGTTGCAACACGTCTGATCTTCGACTACGCCTGGCAAGTTTCTTCATGGACGCGTAGACGGCAGGCTGTTTTGCGAATGCGATAGTAGCTGGACTGTCACGAGGCGAAGCAGGGAAATGAGCAAAAGCGCGCAACATCATGTCACATTAATTCGATCAAGCCTGTAGCTCGCAGTGATTCCGGCATAAGGTCCTCGGAAGAAACATCGAGAGAAGGAAGTGTGCTGAGTGCACTCAGGACCATTTGCACCCCGCCCTCCGCCAGCGAATGGCCAGCTGCTCACCGATCGACGCATCGCAGAGTCAATGGGAGGCTTGAGGCTTCAGTTGCACACCATGTAGGAACAGTGACAAGTCACTAGAGGTTCGCACTTCGAAGGCAATGCCGGGGTCTCAGATGTTTCCGTTCCGTACCAAGCAGAGTGGGGAAAGAATTGGATTCACCAGCGATGGCAGGTCTTTGGGAAGCGTCACGCATTCCATTCAGAACTTCAGTGACTTGCTCTGAGGAAAAGCTGCACGCTGGATCGGGGCAGCGCCGTGGCCCTAACCGAGCCTTGCGAACCTCGATGTGGACACGCCCTTCAAGACGTTTCAATTGGATTTCAAGCAGATCGCTCCTGGTTTTGGTGTGTCCTTTTAGGTTCTCCTGCGGCATGGCGAGCCTGAATGCAAGGAGGTGACGATCCTTCGGCAGGCACAGAAGTGCTACCAAAATGTTCTTGGCTGCCTTCCTCTGCTCTAAAACCCATTACGGCCAGATCTATTTGCCAGAAGCACGGAGATTCAGCGCAACCGCCCCCAAGAGTGCTCAGGGTGCAGTGGCCTTTTGCTACCCACCGGGCCATGACGGCAAGGAAGCGCCGCACAGCCGCCAAGTTTGGTGTTGGGGAGTTCTTCCGTTTCGGGGTGGGCTCGTGGCTGGGCCTTTAAACGTATGGTTTATTCAATTCTCCAGCACCGTTTACCTACTCAGCCAACGGGCACGCATGCCAGGCGTTCTGCTCGCACGCCGCGATATGCGGCGGCCGCCATGGGAGCGTCGCAGGTCGCTTCGAGACTGCGGGATGTCTCTTGCCCTGCAGCATGCCAGAGTCCAGCATCCTGTGCTCCACTCGTTGAGATAGAAGGGCCCGCTGGTGTTGTTCTTTCGTCGATAGATCGCCAGATTGTCACCACCCCGGGTGAGCTCATTGGCGTGTATTCGGCCATCTTCAAGGACCCCGAGCCTGTGCGGACACCCAGACTTCGCGAATGGCTCCAAGTTGATATCGTCCTTCATGCAAGACATTTCATGATTACCGCCTGTGTATCAAGGCCACTGTCCGCGCGGAAAGTGCAACCTGTGACATTTATCGCGTGCCATGGGCCGGAAACTTGATGCTCAGGGCAGGGCAGCTTCGGGGATTCCCGTGCCGAGGCTTTGGATTCTTCAAGCTCTTAAAGTAAATGCTCTCGCGGCAGGATATGCTAGCAATGTGCTGCAAGGGGCGGAGGGATGTCCAACCGCGATTCTGCCAGTGCTTGTTCTTTATGCTGAAGACTCAGACGGACGCAGATCAGCACATCCTGCGGCCGCAACTGCAGCGTTCGGAATGATACTTGCTGCCATGCCGCTGAATTTGTAGCGGGACTGCAGATGTTGTTGCACACCTTGGTGTTCGAAGCTGCAGCACTTCCAATGCATATGGGCTGTTGCATGCTGCTGTATCCTTCCTCAATGCACAGGCAGCACCATCGCGACAACATGTTGTAAAAACCGTGCACCGACTTCATGTTCACGTGGTGAACCGACATGGAATCTGTTCAGTTGCAACAGCCAAGCGATGTTGCTTTGCGCAGCATACCCCAGCCTACGAAATCTGACCCTGAGCCCAGCCCCCAAGCATCACCAACTTACAAGAATCATCAACTGGCTCGGTGCAGTCGCCATGGCACTTGTCACGGAGGTGGGCCGGGGCCTGCCGATGTCAAGAGTCAGCTTTCCGTGAATCTAAAATCAGACCACGGTTCTCTGGCATCTTGAGAGCGAGGCTTTCAGGCTTGGGGCACCGCCGACACTGCCCGTCACCAGGCAAGGCCATCTTTGCAAAGAAGACAGCAGGTTGCCCGAACCTAGCGGGCCGGGTGAATAAGTGATTTGTTGCCGGGGCCCACCTGCGCAATGGGGGATGGTCCAGGGAAAATTGCCTCGCTCGATTGAAAAGGCACTGAAGATGGTGCTTTGCATCCACGACCAGGACCACCTAGGACCTAGGACTTAAGTACCGCAGCAAGGTTGTTGGCCCAGCCTCTGTGTGTGTGTTGCAGAATCCCGACAACGACGAGCAAAGCCGCAGCATCTGGAGTCTGAAGCCGGCACTTGGTGCGAGGCCAGCGCCGCCTCACGGCCGAGTGCGTGGCGCGCCAGAGCGAGGTGCAGTGAGGGCTGGCTGTAACGTTCCGGCTCCAGCACAGCTTGGGTTGAGAGCTTCGGCCTTGCCCAGCAGTCAAGCCTTTCATGGTAAATGAGGTTTTGGAAATTCAGAAGCGGTTCCCTGCGGCGTGATGTTGGCGGCAGTATGGTCACCCCAAAACCTAAGATCTTCGATGTGCTGCCTAAAGTGGACATACCCACGGAATAGCACACATGTGCGATCAAGTTCTTGAGGCGTTTCCTCCACGCTCGCCCCAGCTGCCACAGCTTTGGCTGCGGGCGTTTTGGCGAATAGGCGAGGCGGCAGCACGCCGGTGCGTGCGCCTGAATTTGGAGCCCGATATGCGTGATCCACACCATGCACCCAAAGCCCGAAACTCCAAGCCCAAAGTCGGAGCATACGAGGGGGGTCTTCTGCCACATGCAGACACCCGAAGCCAAAGACATTGGAACTTCCTGACCTTGAAGTTGCAGGGAGCTGGCCTGGGCTCGGGCTCCCAAACTAAGATTGTCTGAAGTTTACTTTTGCAGTCCAGGTGAGCCCCTACGACGCAACTACACAGAATCTTAACGGGTCGATGATGGAGAGTAATGCTGTTGCTGAAGGCTGTAGAAGGCTCTAGAACCTTTAGAAACAGAGATTTGAGTCTGATGGGGTCAGCATGTCCTGGATTGCATGCGCAGACCGCCCCTGCCCCCGAAGGGCGCCCCAACAGGCCATAGAGGCAGGAGCGAAGACCGTAATCCCTACGTAATGGTTCCATGCAGTTGCTTTCTCGAAGGGTCGGGACACTCAGTAAGTAATTATTTTGTAGAGGTATTAGGATCCTATTTCGGCTACGTATAATTCGACTTATGACCTACTTACCAAGTCTCCCGGCCCTCCAAAAATAGCTCACACACACACGCGCGCGCACGCGACTTCCCAGGCGCTCGAGTGGAGCGCGGGGCACTGCAGCCCGGGGTGTCCGGATCCAGGAGCCGCAAGGGCTGCAAGGGCCGAAGGAAGGTTCAGGTGAAGTGCGGTTTGGGATGCGAGTCTTCGAAGTGTTGGATTCTCGAACTGCCGAGATGTCTGGGGTGAGGGACATTGGACTGCCAGGCCGTCGCTAGCAGCCGAACGAACGGGCTGGTGGATCCGCGCGTGGAGGGGCCGACACCTGTCATTTTTCGATGTGGGTAGTTTCTACATTATGGTCCGTCTGTAGGTCCCCAACATAGTACGGCACCCTTGTAAAAAGAACCTGCAAAGGGACCCTAATTTAGAGAACTACCCATGTCTCTTGGGCAGATGAAGGGACTCTTGCAGTCTTTGGGATGTCTTATGCTAAGTTGGGCTTCGGTTGGAGCGTCGCAGTTCTCGCCAGAGTGGGGCCCATCTGACAGGACTCGGATTCAAAGGCTTTGTTTGAGGAGGCAGCCTGAAAGCTCCAACTCGAAACCGAGGGGCAAGCATTCCTTCCCTTGTCTGCCTGCACCTGTTTGCAATAGACTTGCGGTGCCAAACCAAAGGGCTCAGCAGGCTTTGATTGAAGATACTAGAGATGCGCATGTCTTTGTTGTTGCAAAGCCGGTTTATTGGGTTGATGCTTTCGGCCTTGCAACGGCTCGGATCTTCTGCGCACTTCCTAGCTCTGAGGACCAACTTCGAGAAAGAGCTGGGCAGTCTCGGTGCAAAGGTCTCTTTGGAGGGGTTGGCGAGTCGGGGAGAGGTTTCTTGTCGGCCTCGGGCCCGAGCAGGTCTGTGAAACTGACTCATCAGAGCAGCATGGGCCGCATCGCGCTGCGAAGTGTAGAAAGGCATGAGCAAGAAATCGTCCGAAGGTCGAAGGTTTCGAGTTCTGCTCGGTGCCTGTCCCTGTTGCGGAGGCAGATGTCCAGGCCATGGAGCTTTCGAAGCTTGAGGCGAGGCTCCGAGGGCGGAGTGGAGCGGCATAGCCGAAGCATTTGTTGCCGAGGCGGAGGATGACGAGGAGGAAGCGGAGGAGATCTCCCCGCCCGAACCCGCGAAGCGCGTAAACACTCGAGAAGTGGAGCTCTGGCCACTTGGACCTCCCGTGATTTCCTCCCAAAATGGGGGTGCTGTAGTGCCAGCATCGACACATCCTCGCCCAGCCCAGGCCAGGGATACCAGATCCCATGGTCAGCTTGGCTGCAAGTTTGACATGAGCAAGGGCTGAGGTCGAGGGTCGGGAACAGGCATGACTTGACTGTACGATCTCATCGATACAAGGAAAGCAACCGTCAGCGATCAATCATTCAAGAGACACTTGATGCAGGGTGTGCTCCTGAAAAGCCACGGAATGGACCAGAGCTTTCTGCTGGCAAGCTGTGGAAGCAATTTCCCAAGTCAAAAATTTCAACTGCACTGCAATGTGGGCAGCGAGGTAGTTCGAATGCTGCTCAGGTGGACTTCGGTGGCCTCCCCATCCCCCAGCGCCTGCCGCTCAGTCTTCTTGGCGAGAGTTCTGATCATGCCAAGCCAAGCACGGCCATAGCCGAGGCCTCGCCGACGCTTTTACCGAGCGTGGCATCCTCCAGCCATCCAGCATCCAGGACACTGTGTGTCATTGCCCTTGAAATTTTGAAAGCTTTTGCCTTCTTCGGTAGCATCAGCCGTGACAAAACAGGGTTTACCCTGCACAGGCTACAGCCTGCTAGTCTCAGTGCTGGAAGAAATACCAAGTGGATCAGAGAGGAGCTCGTGATGCCCAAGCTGGCCAAGGGCGAGCACATCATCCTACATGCCCCTACAGGCTTGGCCTACTGGTTTAAGCTGCTGCCATCCAAGCATGCACTCCCTGATTTTTTCTATTTTGTCTTGTGCGCGGCCCAGGCAGTGGGAAGACACTCGCATACTTGCTTCCCATCCTCGCAAGGCGCAGTTGCCACCCAGCCTGAGTGTATGCAACTTTCCCACCCAATGCTCACAGGCTTCAACCGACCATGCACGTCGGCGCACAGGCACGGGCTGTTGCAAGTCGCGGGAGCCCTGTGCGTCACCGTGATCCTTGTCGACGGGCTTACACGGAACACAGCTTGCTAGGTGTAGGAAGTGGATGTTCTATCGGAACCACCGAATTTCGGGTTCCGCGTGGCCCTGCAATCAAGGCTTTATCAGCTGATACCTGTCAGGCCATCATTTTTGTCCCGACGCCGGAGCTCGCCCTTCAGGCAGCGGCTTCGAATCAGTAGTTGCCTCGAAGCCTGGGCTCACTGTGCTGCATGTGCTCCAGGCCATTACTCACCCTGGTCTCTCTCCCGAACCCTTTTCTCGAACATGCAGCGTGAGAGGTCACTCGTGAGCTGAAGTGGCTGATTTATGCCACCCGGCAGCAACAAGCAAGGTTTGTCTTCGCAGCAAGGCCCCGCCAGTCATCGAGCAAAAGTTGTGTCACAGACACCAGCGAGAGGGCCGACAATTGACAAATAGAGCTCGAAGCTCTAGACTCTAGACTGGAGAAGCTTCGGCCGACGATCCCACGACGCCGTAAGTGTTTCAACATGTGTCTTTGAACAGTCCTGCACCTTCTCTGGTTGCCAGGCAAGCGGCTTTGAAGAGTCATGTTGAGACTGATTCGAAGAACCCATGGATATGTTCTAACATGGGGCGGGTGTTCATGTTGAGGATTGGTGGAAGATCGTAATGCATTGTCATGGCAATCCCCATGTGCAAGGTGTTGGCAGGTGGCTCCGATGGCACTTGCTGGTTCAACCCGCAAGTTCCACAGGACCTGACCGTCACAGACTTTGGAAGGGAATGGCCACATGGGAACGGGTTCCCCTGCGATCCTGCATCGGACGCTTTTGATCCAAGATTCCCGATGTTTCGAAACGTGTCTAAGTCTAAGTCAGTGAGACATGGAGGTTAGACACTGCCGGCACTTGACAGGATTTTGCTCAAGTTCGTAGCAGAGTGCAGACTCCTGATACCTCATGGCTTTGGGTTCTCTCCACGTATTTGAGAAGATTGCTGGACGGTTTAAGCTCGAAGCTGATGATGAGATCATCAGCTGCCACGGGACCGCAGTCGTCGACGCACTGCAGACTATGAAGAAGCAGAGGTCCGAACAAAGAGGCCGGATGACGCAAGCACAGAGCGCCATTTCAAAGTCCCGGGTCATTGACTTTCTGAAGAAACATGGCTTCAGCCACGCAGTCGCAGACCTCAACTCACCGAAGCGCACCGGATTTGGCTTTCGCCGAACATTCCCTGTGCACCATGCCGCAAAACAGAAAGACTGGGACATGGTGATTCTTTTGCTTTACTTCGGTGCAGATCCACTGTGCCGTGACAGCCAGAATCGAGACCTTTCCAGCTACTTGGGCCAGGAGGCACCTGCAAAGATCCACCGGTTCCTGGCTACCAGAAGCCGGTCGAGTCTGCGTTAATCGCTTTAGACAAGATCTGGATTTCGTCTGTTCCCCGCGTCCTGCAAATTATGCAGTTCGGGGTTTGACACAGATCCTGACTTGTTCGTTTCCTAGCTTCCCTTTTGTTCGTTTGCCTGTTTCCTTTGCCGGACATGTCCGGAGGCAGCCGGACAAGTGAAAGAGTTATGTGATGTCCACGTACAGCAACCATTTGGATGGTTCGTTGCTGCGGGATTTGTGTACCTGCTGTCGTTGGGCATCAGAAGTCACAGATCCTTCGCAACCTTTGCATGTTAAGGTTTGATCAGATTTCAGTGTGAATCGGCGCGATGCACGTCGCTAAGTATGATGTGCGGCTGGGCAAACCGACCAGTCTCGCCGAGAAGCTTGAACTGGGCACTCCACTGCCCAGACTTGTACAAAACTGAAGTGCTCGGGAAGTCCAAACTGCTGCGCATTGCTACATGAACTTGCGCACAGAGAGTCTGACAGATTCCGGAGTCTCGAATCACGTTTGTACTATTCGGCAATGTGAGGAACTCGCCTGCAGCGTCCTGCTGTCGAGATCGAACTTGTGGGATACAATCCGCCAGGTCGGTCCCTTATGCAGAGTGAAAGGAGTGCAAGAGTGTTGCGGCAGTCAAGCCGTCACAAGGCATAGATAGACTTCAGAAGTCGCGCATGCATTGGCCCAGGACTCTGCAATCATGGTCTCCACACCAGGACAGCCGGCTGCATCAGGTGTTTTGCTTGTCTTCCTCCCGTGCGGTTACTTCACGTGGACTCATTTCGTGTCCTGTGCTCGGACGGACTTGAGGCATGATCCTCAGCGAGATTCGTCAGCTAAAGTTCGAGGGCAGGCGGTTCAAAGAGACCCTTGCCTACTTCATGGCCAGCAATGTTCCGCGGCAGTTGAAGTGGGTGGGTTTGGACTTCAGAAGTTCACGACTGTTGAAGCAGCGGCATTCAACTCTTCGCCCTCGGAGGAAGATGAAGATCAGGGACAGGGCTGGCACGAGACATCGGGCGACTAGCACGGCTTCCCTAGCCCCAGCAACCCTGGCAAACTCGGCCCAGCTCTAAGCCCACACGGCTGGCTTGCGAAGGCAAGGATCCCCAATTGCAGACCCAGCCGAAGTAAAGAATTTGGCTTACAGCCCAAGCAGCGGGGCACAAGACCTAGGTTCAGGCCATCGTCGTGGATGAAGTGGACGCGCTGACGCCGGTGCCGCGACCAGGTGAACCCGTGCAAATTGAAAGCACCAGTCTTTGGCAAGTTTGAAGTTGGTAATTTGCACAGACTGGTAAGTCCAGAAAAGGGTTTCGTGTGTCGGCATGGAGTCAGTCCAAGGGACGCACAGCAACCAACTGAGTAACCAAGAGTCAAAGAGTTCACAGAAATCCCGCGGTTGTGTCAAACTTCATACAACATGATCATCAACCCTCTTGGTTTGCATCCTCGACCTATCTGGAATCGTGAGCGACTGAAAGATCATCATTATCATAGCCAGCTTCATTCAGACATGACCTGTTCGCGTATAATAACAACAGCTTCGAGCCTCCGTCAGGAAACAACTCGCGGCGGTTTGGTGCAACTGAGCAGGCCGGGACTGGCTTCCTCTGAGGCTTTTCCTTTGCCACTGTTTGTTTTTCGGCAGTCGGGCCGAAGGCCTCGTCCTTCTGAGGCGTGAGGTCTCTGCACAACAGGATCGGTCGCTCGGGTGGGGGTTTCGCACAGCGACACAGTACCCTGGTCCCGTCGAGTTCGACGCGCGTCACGTGTCGTCAGCGCAGCGCTTTCGTGCTCTTCTTCGTCCGAGACACTTGAGGCTTGAGGTCCAGGTACACAGGTGTGAGACCTCTTCAGTGTGTTGTTTGCTTTGCGGTTTGTTTCGTGAGGCGGGAGGGTTGCGGTTGGATGAAAGCACAGGGAAGCAAAAAGAAGCCAGCTGAGAGAAGCACAGGTTCTGCAGGTTCCAGGACAAGCCCTCGGGGATGGCCCCAATGTGTCCTACCTTGTCCTCTGACTGCCACACTGTCACGCTGCTTGACGTGTGCAATTCCACTTGCCTTGGATGACAGAGTCTTTTCCACCCTTCGACAGGTCGTGGCCTACATCATCAACGTGGCCGCTCGCATCCGAAATTGGGCTGATGACTTGTGCTATCCATAGCTTCATGCCATGAAGCTGACAGTGCCAAGGAATGTCAAGTTTGCAAGACATTGGAAAAGCAGAAATCTCAGGGTCCGCAACTCTGATCTGCTCAGGTGAGAAGTCGATATCGGAATCGGCCGATTCAGCAGCTTGGCGAGCAGGGTTCAAGCGGGGCCGGTCAGCAATGGACTGCTTGGCTGAAGCAGTGCCTTCGGTCAGGATGATCGCAGCTTCTGCCACTGCCAACTGCCAGAGAGTATCCAAGTTCCTGGATCGGCTGAATGCCTGGCCGCCTGGCAGTGATAATCTTGAAGCAAGCAGCGTGCAAAGAAGCATGCAATGTTTTTCCCACTGCAACGCGACGCCCATCCCAGGAAGTGGAACAAGAGACGCGACATGGCCAGGAGGCAGACACCAGAGCTGATCCAGCCACTCGGTGCTTTCACCAAAGCTCGTTGGCACTTGGGTAGAAGGTTTCCAGAAGGTTTCCGAGAGAGATGTGATGGCACGTCGACGCCATCTCCTTGACCACAAAACAAATCTAGAACAAGAGCAATGACTCCTCTTCACCTCTTTCAGTGAGATGTTTGGCTGGTGCTTGCCTCAGCCGGGAGGTCTCATGAAAGACGGGTGTGGGTGGACTTCGTTTGCGTCGTGTGTGTGTGTGTGTTAGAGACGCGGATGGGGCCTTGATTCTGCCGTAGAGTAGCCCCTCATCAGGCACACGATGTGAGGGAGATACCCACTTGGCATCACTAGTTTTCAGACATGTCAAACATGGACTGGTCCTTTTCATCTTCCCCAGGGCACGCAAAAGAATTCGCAAGTTGTTCTTGTCGTCCATCCCAGCATCCTCCAAATCCAGGGAATGCCCAGGAAGAAGACATGGTATCCCGCCTTCCTATGTCTCGTTTTTCGATGTCTCGGTATTCCGATAAATCGGGAAACGTAACACCCACCTGCTGTCCCAATGATTCGGCGTGCGGATGTTGCCAGTGTGTAGGCGGTCAGCATCCAGTGTCCCGCCCGCCCTTGCATGCTCGTCGGTGTGTTTTCGGGCTCTGTCCTGGCGTCCCAAAGTCCCAATGCTTCAGTCTCTAGTGTGTCCGGTGTCAGTCGGTGTCCTTTCTTTTCTTCGGCCTCGCATTCTGCGGTGAAAGAGCCTCGTTCATACACGCGTTGTCGTTATCGTGTGTTGCACGGAGTGACATGCACGAGCGACAGCAGCAGATACCGCAGCTGCTGTCCGCTGGAAGTCTGAAGCTTTTCTGAAATAGCCTCGCCAGGCGCCGCCACGTCTGCATGAGGTGCTTCTTCGAGCTGGACCGCGGGCAGTTCAGGGGACGCAGTGACAGGTGACCTCTTTCGCACCGCCTCTGTCGTTCCGCAATCTGGCTTCATTGTCGGAAGACCTGCGGGATCCTGCGGGTGTGCCTCACTTCATCTGCAGTGGACGGTATCCGCCGCTTGCTTGGTGTGGGACAGTCCGCGTTGCTGACAGATGGCCACTAGCTCTCCGCATCGCCACTCGCGATCAGGCTACCACCTTCGCCCAAGCAGCACATGCAGGTATTTGGCCTGCCTGCACCTACAAGCAAGGTAAAGACCAAGGCACCGCACCGGCCAAGGTGACCTCGAGCTCAACGCCGTCGACGGCACAGGCTACACGATCCTCGGCTGCTTCCTTCATCGCACGCTAATGGCCAACAGGTGTGCCGCCCATGAAGGTGCCGCCCCGCATTCTCGGCTACAACGCCCCCTCATGGTGCAAAAGTCGGCGCCCGACCCTACTCCAGCGACTACGGTCACACCCGCCACGTCCGCGCAAGCTCAGGGCTGCGACATGCTCGTCCCCGACCTCGAGCTCTGTGCCTAATGGCGGCTCTGACGAGGCGAAGCTGATCGAGATCTCCAGCTCTGGGGACTTGGATCAGCGACGACGATGACCCGGACGACAGTCAGCTCAGCGTGGTGCAACGCAGCCTGCTGCTACGATCCAAACGTGTCTACTCTTGCGCGTATGCGAGATATCGTGTAGAGCAAGCAGTGACATGTAGGAGCGACAGCGGCAGATACCGCATGAGACGTTTTCGATTCGATGTGCGAGACCGGTCATCTCGCCGCCTGCCGCTACGCACCCAAAAGTGTCTGATCTTGCGCGTAAGCGAGATGTCGCTTCCTGCATTCCACATCTCTGGACCTCCGGCAGCCGAGTTTAGTTTCGGTGGTCATCTTCGTCAAGAGGCTTTCCTTTCCGTTTTGTGGCTTTACGATGTGCACTTCTCGGGAATTTCCGGAGTCCTTCACACTGTGCCGGTTCGGTGTTCCTGTAGTCTCCCAGTTCTCTGGTGTCCCTCGGTGTTGGGCTTCCCCCTCTCTCGCATGATTGAATCTCCATGCTTTGGTGTCATTTGTGCCGCAGCTTCTTGTTGCATTCAGATTTCGGTGTGCTGTTAGTCCAGTGCTTTGGCTGGTGGTGCCACGTTTTGCACAGCTAGGCTGATTTGACAACCGTTATTTCTCTGTTCACGCCCCCCCGTTTTCTGACCAGGGTTCAAACGTGTTAGGCCTGATAGGCAGCATGAGGCGAGTGGTTGGAGGCACGTCGCCTTTTGCTGATGACCCGAAAGCCCTCCGTCTCAAAAGCTTTCGAAATGCTTTGATGAAAAAAGGAGGCCCCGCATGCTTGCACCTCAGGGCCAATGCCACCGTCGGGCGCGTAGGCGCCAGTCCCGGAAAGATCCGGGGGCCCTCGAAGTCGGTAGCTGCTCGGCTGCTATTTGCCTAAAGGGAGCCAGGATCATGATAGGCTATGTGGAGTCTCCCTTTGTCAAGGCCCGTGCGGCCCTTGCCTGACTGCGGGTCCAACTAAAGAACGGATGCTTGCACTTTCCGAGGTCCCGATGCCATCGAGCCTCCAAGTCGCAAGTTCTTTTCGAGTCGGACATGTGGAACAAGAAAGCATGCATCCCCAAGAATTGTCCTTTGGAGTTTGGTGCTTCCGACGTTGCCCAAGGCATAAGCCATGCGGTGGCTGTGGTGAAGGGCAATGAACAGGGCAATTTCTTCAGTGCCGAGCCTGCAGTTGGACATGTGCTCCCTCGCATGAAAATAGAAGGGGTGCAGCTGCTCGACAAATTGTAGGGAGATTCCACGATTCGACCAATCCCGGGCCGGCAGTGGCAGCACTCTCGTGACAGGTCAGGACCGGTTCAAGCTGCTGGTGGATATTGTCAAGAACTTGAAGGAGAAGGGCACTGTGCTTTGTCATGCGTTGAAGCTGGGGTTTCATCGCCAAGGGGTCGCTCTAATAGTTAGTAGTCATGCCCGTCATTGTACTTTGCAGAATGGCAAAGAAGTGCCGGCTGATTCGGTTGAAGATCCAAAGGCAAAGGCAAGACAAGACAATTGTGAAAGACAGAGGCATCAGCTCTTGATAATTGTCAGTGCCTTGAAGCAGTCCCCGACATCCGCTCTGTTCTGCAAAGGTGCTCCTTTTCGTCCCGGAGCATGTGCCTGCGCTGCAGCATGCCGTGTTGCTGGGAATGCTCTTGCTGCAACATGTCTTGCGGTCGCTTTCCCTCACTTTAGCACCTCGTCGAAAGGCAGTGTCCTGCTTCCGTCACCAGCACCAGGTGAAAATGGATGCCATGGTGCTGATTTTGCAGAAGGGTGGCATTCCGGACCGCGGGAGGGTCGTGGTCATAGGGAAGCCGCGTAGTCTTGAGAGAGCCGGAGCGATGGATTCTGACCTGTGAGGATGTCTGCAAGTATCGCTCCGAAGCCACACGACAGCACGACAGCAAGCTTTGCTTTGGCAGAGAGCGTGGCCACAAGAAAGTGAGGTCGGCCTGGGCATCTCAACAGAGAAGGCCCTGGATCCAAGTATCTCGGCGGAAGCCATGCTCAGAGTGGTAATGTGCTGGGAAGGCCCTATGCACAACTGCATTATATAGAAGTGGTGATTGCGAGGGCTTAGTAGAGTCTTTGGACTGTCGAGGCTTTCAGCGAAACCCCCGGAAGAATCCGAACAAGCCACTTGGACCAAAGAATTTCCAGCGTTTGCGGCTCCGCGCTGAGACGTCTGTTTGGCAGGCGAGCTCCACCCGCCGAGCAGGACCGTCTTCGGCGGCCCAAAGATCGCTTCCTTCGGGAAGAGAGAGATGTCCAAGCAGCGCAAAACAGAGACAAAAGAAAGAGAGAGAGAGAGTGAGAGAGTGAGAGTGAGAGAGACTCCGTGAGATTTGTTGGAGGACATCAGCCCGCTGCGAGCGCTGCAGCAGGGCCAGGACTTCGTGGACCATCTTGAGCAGGTGCCGGACTCGGCATGTAGGCACTGCAGGTCCTCTGGAGCTCTCGGGGTCCTATGGGCTGTGGTTCGGTTTCCGCCGGCTGGGTCTGTGTGACTCCACGGCATGTTGCCATTCCAGCTGGCCAAGAATTCGGAAGCATGTCTCATGCGCCCATAGGCTCTTGCAGACAACACCGTGGTACGATTTGTAAACCCACTGGCTGGGGATGGAGATCCAGCACCGTCACTTCGCTCTGGCGAGTACTGGCACGAGCCACTGTGGTCCCCGTGACAAGCCAACAAATCGAGGTAGAGCGCCGGGTACTCGTGGCGAAGGTCCAGGAGGGCAGAGGCGGTGATTTGGGCCGTCGAAGCATAGTGGCATAGAGATTCTCTAAGACGGATTGACCACAGCGTGTCAAGGCATTGATCTGCCCAACGTGCGCTACGTGGTGCAGCTGCAGCTCCCGAAGGCCCGGCACGCTCCCATCCCAGGCTTGTTACACTGTGGCGAAGCCTGTTTGCAAGGCCTCCGGCGAATACCTCCACCTCGCCGGACGAACGGGCCGCATGGGCGCCACGGGAACTTCCATCACTCTCGTCACGGAGCGGGGCGAAAGCGCTTTCAGGGTTGAGGTCGACCAGTCCAAGAAGCATCTTTTGACACACACACACACACGCTGTTTTAAGGCATTGCAAGGTGCAGCGGCTGCACACAGAGTCACAGTGCCGACCCTGCTAGAAAAACAGTAGCCCCAGCACTCCCTTTTCACAATGTGACTCAACGACTGCTTCCAAAGAGGAGGCGGAACTCGACAATGCAGCTCGCCTGAACAGAACATTGCTGCCGTCGCGCCGCGGATTCCGCTCGCACTCGCTGGGAATAAGGCGCTGCCTCTCATCGGCTGGAAGATCGGAGCATCCTTCGATAAGTGGGATGTTGAGCGAGGCCAGCGTAGCGGTCCGGGCTTCTTCAGGAGGCTTGGTTTTCGTTGAACTCAGACATGACTACGCACTATGAGCATACCCCAAAGCCAAGACTGCAGCGAGGAAGCTTCTGAAAAGGTTTATGTCTCAATCTTGCACCAACGTGACAGAGCTTGCGCTTCAAGGCCAGATCGCAGAGGGTGTCCGGGTCTTGATCGACCAGACTCAGACGCTTTGGAAGGGCTGCTGACCAGATGTTGCATGCATTCCTCTTTCTTACCGAGGCCAGCGTGCAAGCCACCCTCTCGTGAAAGGCCCATCACTCCACACGCGAGAGATGGCTTCCGGCTTTTTCCGCGCAAGCGCATCCGGACCAACTTCATCCGGAGCGGAGACTTCTGAATCTGACAGAGGAGTGCTGATACCTTGAGCTCATCAGAGGAAGTCATGGGCACAGACCTGGAAGTCCGGGCACTGGGTGAAAGGTCTTTCACGCTGTCAGACTCCGTGACAGAGGCTTTTGCACAAGGTTTTGATTCACGAGGCTGCACTCAGCAACCTCGGCCGTGACCAAATAGAATCGCGATTCGATGATTTGCCAGAGCCTTGCTTGAATGCGTGCTGTTGGAAGTTATGACTAGACATGCCAGGCGCTGGCATTCCATATCTGCGTAGCTTCACTGCAAAGAGCGCATCCGGAGCCGGATGAGCTCACGCCGCATCCGAGACGAATTGGACTGGGATTTGCGGAGCTTTATGAGTGGCCTGTTCCCAGACACAGGGCTGGGGACGGGTGCTTCACGCGATATGTCAGAGGCCGGAGGAAAATGAAGCTCGCGGCTTGCCAACACTTGTTGTGGGCGCAAAATAGATCTGTTTGTTCATGTGGTTCACGTCGCAAACAGGGCATTTTAGCACCCGAGGCTTGCACCTGGTTGGAAGGTTTTGGGAACACGTCGGCATCGGTTTCCACTTGGAGGTTCGGGTAATTCAAGCTTAGTCGCTCTAATGTCCTGAAGTCCTGAATTTCAACCGATGCCAATACACTTACAAAGCTTTTATGCATGGGTTGCGAGTACAGTGACACAGGAACGTCCAGGCAAAGATGTATAAGTTCCTGATTCCGAGACGTGCCCTTACCGTTCGAGGTCGATCTGCAGCGGGTCTTGCGCAACTCTCAGAGTACCTTGCAAGTCGAGCGCGGTTCTTTCTCCACACGAGTTAACCCGGCAAGCGCCCATCTCCAATCCCGATGCCCTTACTATAGTTCAACCTCGACACCAAAGTGCAGGTGCAAACCTGGGCCCCCAGCTGCACACATCCAGGATTCCACGAAATCTGGCGTCTCGCATGCCAAGGACGCAGCGAAACCTAAACCTCCTGCGGGAGAGGATGATCCGGGCGCACGGGGCGCCGGGTGGCCAAGTCGGCTTGCAGCGCTCCTTTTTGCTGCTTGGGGCGGAGAGCGGCAGCTGGTGCCTTTGCCTGTCTCTGTGTGTGTTTTCTCTTCTTCTGTCTTGCGCCCCAGTGCGAGAGGGGGCCGCGGGCCGCGGGGAGGGGGGGGGGGTTGGCCAGGCCCTGGGGACTCGGGCCCCGGACAGGGAAGGAGCCCGAAGGAGCCGCTACAGAGCAAGCGGACTGGACAGCGGCGCAGTGGGTTTCTGGGACGAGTGTGGGCGTGCTGAGGCGCTGCGAGACCTTGGCGGTGCATACTCCGAAGGCTGGTGCGGATCAGCAAAGACTCGACGGCAGCAGCGTGTGTAGAGATTCCGGTTTCGCAACAGGAGATGTTCAAAGTCACCGCTAGCGAGAGCCAGGTGCTTGGAACTGGCTTGCCTGTGAAGGGTTGCCTGCAAGAGAGAGCTTTGCAAGTTGATGCCGTGGCATGCAAAGCTTGTCGTCACTACAACGGTCCTACCACTGGATGTGGCCAACGGAAGCTCGAGCCCACCCTGCAGTCTTTCAAAGCCTCAAGGCACCCCTCCTACACAACACTGCAGGCGTACAAGGGAAGGCATCGTGATTTCTCATATTTACACGTGTAGGCTGCACAGCTCTTCGTTTGGGCTGGACTTTCGAAGTTGCTCGGCACCTGGGCCTTCCAACAGCCAGCCTGGCTCCAGGACTCGAAACCCGGCCCGGTGCTAACTTCCTTCGTTTCAGATTCGCCGTACCACCGGCTTTGCAACTGTCGAGCCGCTGTTATGGCAAACCGACGTGTGCACCTGCCTTTGTCTGATTGCTGTCACCTGTTTCTGGTGCTTCCTCGGAAGATGATGTCGACCCTCTTGTTTCCATGCTTCCTTGCGCCTTGGCGTTCCACATCGCACAGGGCCTTTCACCTTTGAAAGTTTTTGTCTGTGTCATGCACCGAGGTCTCCAGAACACCCTGCCAAGCAAGGAGCAGCAGGCGAGAGTCCGGAGCAATAGGCAATCGTACCACACCAAGCTCGGCAGACGGATCGAGGCTGTGAAGAAGGCCTTCGAGGAAGCTTTCGTGCGGACCCCTGGCCATCCGGTCAGCTTTTCGAAAGCCGCTCGTTTCGTCAATCGGCTCCGAATCTAGCCATGACAACAGCCATCTGATGGCTGAAGCTTCCCCTGCCTCACCTCGCCTCAGGACGCCGTCAGCCAGTTCGCGGAGGGTAGCGGCGAAGGCGACGAGCAAGAAAGGGCTGCCAAGAGTGGATTTCTGTGTGCGAGCCATGGCGATAGCAGTCGTCTGGTCTGGTCATTAGTGCGGCACGCATCCAAAGATTTCAGCCTACTGGTTGAGGACTCACAAGTGAGGCGTTCCTCGAGGTCTGCGCCTGAGTTATACCGAAAGACTCGTGTTTTGGGCTTCATGCTTCAAGCTCAGATTCACGAGAGAGATGTAAAACCTCGCTGCACTGGAGGCTGAAAAGCAAGGATGGCTTGTCCTTGTGCCGAGGCAATCAAATCCTCCAAGAACTTCGGCTTGCAAAGCTGGGGCCGTAGCAAGTTCCATGTTTGCTGAGCCTCGGACAAGTCCAAGCAAGGTGCGAAGAAGCCAAAGCCGAAGGTCCGAGCTCCGGGGTTCCGGAGAAAGCAGCGAGAAGCGCCGGGTGGGTGCCTGTTTCAGGCAGTCCCGAAGCCTTTGTTGGGCGGTGCCGCAGCTCGCGAAGCAGCCAGGAAGGCCCGGTCTGATGCAGCGATGAGTGGGGAGTGGGGGGGCTACACCGATTTGCGAGAACTGCTGCCGTGTGCAGCTTGCGAGCGATGGATTGTACCGGAAATGCTCCGATGTTTGGATTGACACGTCCACTTCGGCATGACGTCAGGTATGTATTCAGCAGCAATGCTTGTTTGTGTTTGTGTGTTTGTTCGTGTTTCTTTGTACCTTGCTGTGTTCGTTGTGTGTTTTGTTGGCACTGTCCATTGGCTGCAGTGCCAAGGCTGCCTACGAGAAAGGCCTTGAGAAGGCCTGAGTCGCAGCGCAAGACAGGGCTTCGGTGGCAAGACGCAACATGACAGAAGCACATGGGAGTGGAGTCCTGTGTCATTGCACGCTTTGGTGAGTCCAACGCATTTTAGTTTTCCCGGCAGTGCCTCACATAGAGGTAGAACCAACTGCTGTTCGTGCAAACTGACTGAGAACTGAACCTGGGAGTAGCTGAGAAAAGAGCGGATGCTGTCACGGTTGAGGCGCTGGCGCAGCTTCGCGAAGCAACACAGAAAGCAGGTGGGACTGCTCCGTCCCTGCAATAGGATGCCTCAACCAGTGCTGGCATGCTGTTACAAGGTCTAGCGCGGTTGACAGTGCTCTGAAGACCCACAGGCTCGCGTCAGCTTTTTGTCAGGCCTCTGGGAATCCTTGCAAACGAGTTGTGGCCTTAATCATCAAGCTGCCAAAACAACGGCACCTCGCATGTCTGAACTCAGGTGACGTGGAAGTGGAAGCTGCCATAAGTCGACAGCCTGCGGCTCAACCAAGGAACAGGAACCTTGGCCGAAGAATGCACCGTCGACGACTGGAGTTTGTGAGGCCACAGCAAATGGCAAGCTCCCATGTGCGCGCACAATTCCTGAAGGCGCCGATGTCCCGAGCACAGCCTTCGGCTACTCATTTAGCTCGACAAAGCTTCTGTGCATCGGAATTGCCGATTAAGACTTGCTAGAGCAAACCGAGAGGCCGTCGCTGCCGAAACATCCATCTCCGAACTCAGGATGCTTCCTTCGGCTAAAGTCTCAAGTCTCAACCCGCGGCCTCATATGGCTACAAGATTGATGGCTGCTGTAGTCGACGGGTCTGGCATATTTGGCATGACGAGGCTTGCGCGTCCGTCCCAGCAGCGCACCTGGCATGACGTACAACCTCGTAGTAGAGCATAAGGTTCGGCTCGTTATCCCAGTACTGGGAGAATGAGGAGTGTATCATCAATGGGGCCAGCGACAACGTCAAGTTCGTCAGGCTGATGGATTTTAAAACGGATGTTGGCGACATTCTCATTGTCCACGGCATGAACTACAGTGGCTACGATGGTCCGTCAGGGTCATTCCAACAGGTGACATCTCGCTTGGTCAACAGATGGAGTGGAAGGTCCTCCTACGCTTGGATTCGCTTTGTGCCTCGAGAGCAGGCACCGGTTTTCTGATGCCCGTACAAGGACAACAGAATGTGCTAACACATGGTGCGAGCCTCCGCCGGCATACCAATGCCGAAGCTGCGCCCGCAAACGCAGACGCAGAGGCCGGATCACCCTCTTGAGGATAGCTCACCACTAGTTTGACCACCTGACGCTGGACGTCGAAGCTAGACAAAAAAACGTGAGTGCAGAGCTCCCGACAGAAGGGGAAAGGCGCTGTGCACTTTTGGATCGGCAAAGCTGCATGCGGCACTCAGAAGAAATTCGCCAAATGAAAGCGCGCCCACGCATCACAGGTGCTGAAGAACGAGCACTCCATGGCAGCAAGCCTCAGATCGTATCATGTAGCCATATGTCACAGGTATCGACGACATGCTCGAGACGAGCATGAGCCAGCGGAGATGTGCTTCAGCAGAGCTATCTCCCTGAGGTCATGGAACGCTTCATCGCCGAGGCTGGGGCAACGAGAAGTCGGCCTCAGCCGGACAATCGGGTGCTTCTTGATATTTCTTGATACTGGGATCTGCAGGAAAGGTTTTGGGTGGATGGTTCTGGTAGATTCGGTAGATTCTAGGGCTGAGGGTCAGTGAGAAGAGTCGGGCTTGGGGATTACGGGTTTATGTCGTCGGACGTGATGTGGTGT